CCACACCTAAACCATACTTGTCCTCAAGCATGAGAACAGCAGACAAGTACCAATATTTGATAGTGACTATTGCTCTATCTCACAAATTGCCAAGATACCAAAAAACAATAATCAAGCATCAGTGAATAAGATCCAAGAAATATCACTTTGGTTAGCTTCTAAACCACAAACTCCTCTAATTTCAGGTTAACTAATCTAAGAAAAAGGAATGACGCATAACATTTATCAGCAAATGGTCCAACTATTAACCAAAATTTCAACATTAAATCCATAATTCGGCAAGCTGACTTTTATTACACACTAACACAACCTTCACTTTTTTTTTTCACAATTTTTTTTCTACTTTTCTCTCTCTTTTTTTTTTTTGATTCTTTTTCTTTCCAGTAGTAACAAAAGACTTAGTCGCTAGCCATTTGAGCCTTTTGACGCGAACTCCAACATTGGCCAGATGAAGGAGCCCGGTTACTCAACTTCTATCGCCACGTGACCACGTACTCATAGGAATTACTACCTTTTGACGCGAGAATCAACACTTTTGGTGAAAATCCCCGGTTATTCGGTAGTAAATACTAGCGGAGTACAGTCAAGTTTATTCATAGCTAAAAATCACAAAAACTCAATATAACACAAAAACCAAAAGAAAACTTGCATCAGCTAGCCTCATTTTCAAACATGGAGAACTAAAGTTAATAACCGGACCAATTCACTAAAAATGCCAACAATCATTCCCTATGCCTAAGAAAGTTAACCAAAAATTATAAGAGTAAAACAATTATTGATATTCACCAAAGAGATGTTCTTGAATTCAACCACATTAACTTGATACCTTTTTATTATTAAAATTGGCAATAGTAGAAACAGAGACAATAATCCAACATCAAATCTTGGCATGCACTTACGAGCCAATCACTAAAAAGAAAAAAAAAATGAACGAGAGGTGGACGAATAACAAACTAAAAATAAAGAACTAGTATAGCTGTCCCCCCCACACCTAGATCCTACATTGTCCTCAATGGAGGGATTAAAGCAATTAAAGCGAAGAGTGCAACGAAACTTCCCTCACGAGTGGCCAAAGGATAGGAGGGAACAGTGGAAGGAAGCCGAGTTCTGAGACATCCTTGCCACTTGGCGGGTGATGTTCGTCATTCGTTCATCTACGTTGTGAACCTGTGCTTGTAAGTGGCGCCACTCACCATTGACGCCAATTATCACCCCAAACAACAAAAGACAGAATATCCAACAAAGATAGCAATCACCAACGCACATTCATAGTCACCGGTGTTCCCCAACTCAACAATTAAAAGCAAACACGGGCCACCCAAGCTTAAATATGGTCAACAAAGCAACAGTTGCACTCCAAAACTAACAACCAGCAATTATTATCAACAACTAGAAACTAGCAAGGTCACGTCAATAAGCACAGGGGCTACCCAAATCAGTCAGTCAACAAGCAAACTCGGGCCATCCATACTCTCAACAAATGCATTCTAAAATTTCAACAAATATCTCCAGAAATTTCAACAAATGCTATAGCAGATCAAAGCAGTAGTAAAGCAATAGCCCCAAGTATGTACTAATCCACCAGTTGGGAACCCCGGCCGCTGAGGTCACAAACAATGGTCCCAAAATAGCAATATTAACCAATCACCAGGATGTCTTCCATAATTAATAAATGCTACCAATCTCACAAGTAAAACAAGCGGCCAGATATTCCAATTCAACATGCAAAAGCAGAATCAAATCGCCCAAATGTCACTAGACAGTTGCAGTATTTCAGCTCACCCAAAATCCCAACAAATGGCTCCAGTTGGCCAATAAAAGTCGCAACTCAAAATTATTAATTTCAATGATAACAGCTCAGGGATTGGACAATAATCACTTGGTCAACTAAATAGAAGTATGCAATTGAGGTCCAATTACCTCACCAGTACCACTGGTGTAGTAAACTGTGGAAAAGAAATCACACACTACCACTAGCCGGCCACCGATAAACCAAAATAACAACTATCAATGCCAACAATTGAGAATTTCAACAATCAAAACACAGGCAGAGCTGCCGTCCTAATTAGCAAAAGAAAATTTCACAACACCAGCCCACCCAATGTAGTCAAATCGTAACAAGGGCCCCAATAATATGGCATACCAGTGACAGCATTTCAGAAATTGAACAATTACAACCCAATCACAAAACCTCAGCAGTTAACCAGGTGGCCAACCGGACGAAATGAAGAAATTAGGGGGGGCAACTTCCAATTACCTCCACCGTAGGTAGTAGCCAGACGAAATGGGACAATAGTGGGTGTCAGTTGTGCCGGAATCGCGTGAGGGGTTGCGGCGGTGTCGATGAAAACAGCGGCGGTCAACGGTGGAGCAGGAGCGAGCGGCGCGCTATGGAGGTGAAGATGGCGGTGGAGCGCGCAAGGTGGGCCGCGGCTGGCGACGGAGAGCCGCGCTCTGGTGGAGCGCTGGGGTCGCGGGCGGCGGCTGGTTGCGGACAGTGGAGGCGATGTGGTGGACGGCACTGCCTGGCGGACGGCGATGCGGGCTGGTGGAGGTCCGCTGAGTGGCGGCGGTGGACCAGAGAGAAGAGAGATGGGAGAGCTGCGGCGGTAGGCTGCTGCGTGATGGGGGTTGCGGCGCAAGTGGAAGGCGGGCAACAGAGAGGGAGCAGGGGAGGAAGAAAGAAGAAAGAAGAAAGAAGAAGAAGAAAGAAAGAAAAAAAAAGAAAGAAAGAAAAGAAGAAAAAGAAAATTTTTTTTTTTCTACGGAAATCAATTTTTTTTTTTAATTTTTTTTTTGAATTTTGGAAACTAAAGCTACGTTGATAAGAAAAATTTTCTTTTTTTTTTTTTTTTTTTTTGAATCCTTACCTTTCCCGCGAACGTGACGCGGGCACGTCATGAGGGCAAGAGAGCTCTCAGAAGTTTCAGAATTTCTGATCGTGAGCTTCCTGCACGTCCCCATGCGGGCACGTCAAGAGGGCAGGAGAGCTCCCAGAAGTTTCAGAAATTTCTGATCGTGAGCTCCCTGCACATCACCACGCGGGCGCGTCATGACTGAAGGGCACCTATAAATCAGAAAAAACGAAAATTAACACCCAAAATCAGTCAAATTCAAGGAAAGCAGATTTAAACTATGACACGAAACCAATCAAGCAATTAAAAGAAACAATTGGGTTGCCTCCCAATGAGCGCCTTTCTTTAATGTCTTTTGCTCGACATGCTATGCTTGTTCACGGGGGATAAAATCTTGTGGCTCGTTTCAATGCTTCATCTTCAATATGATCCTGGTAACCCTCATAGATGGAGTAATCTTTGAGCACACGAGTTACGGGCTTCCATGGACTAGTAAATGGCGCTAAACAAGTCAACAATGATCTACATTCTCCACTCACTCCTCCACCACACGCATTCATCGGTTCAAGATATTTTTTCATTGCCACTCTTAACTTATTCCTGTCATGAAATTTCAAATTTTTTGGTATAATAAAATCAATTTCAGTAACAGGAATTGAAGAAGAGGAATTAGGAAAATATTGATTAAGAAGTGGAGGAGATGTCACCGCATTTGGAAATTGTTCACTGGATTCATTCACTTTAATAATTTGATGTTGGAGTCTCATGTCTTCCGCTTCAACTTCCTTTTCAACTGTATCTTTGGATCCTCCTTCTTGAGACTCTTGCAGTTCCATATCACTTGTCAGGATAATTGCACTCTCACCTTTCTTAGAGTCATTGATGGTCTGTGAGGGCAAGTCTGACATGAATGACGATTGTTGAGACTCTTGCAGCTGAAAACTCATTGGCCCCTCTTCATAATTAACGTTAGAGTTATCCCACCATCCTTGATCATACCGGTTTGAATAAGGGTCGTACCACGTTTGAGATCGAGGTGAAGAATCTCCAAATTTTTTTTTGAGATAGTCACTCAGATAGTCTTGATATTCGGGGCACATACCGGTTGAATGATCCCTGGCATAACAAATTTCACAGGTTGCAGCAGCCATTCTTTCTCTAACAGAGTTTAGTGCCTCTGCATATGCAGACCTCACAAAAAAACTAGCCTCATTGCCTTCCCCGGAAATAAAATCCAGTATATCACCAAAATACGGAGTGTAAGAAGCCATAAACTAAATAAAAAAATGTAAACAAGATGAATTGAAAAAGAAACAAATAACTAGCGCCAGTCCCCGGCAACGGCGCCAAAAATTGACAGGTTGTCGAAGCCTGTGCAATAATAAATACCTGCTCAAACTAAAAGTAATTTCTGTAGATAGTGGTGAGCAGGGTCGAATCCACAGGGACTGGGAGTAATCGTTTCTTTTCAAATTCACAGTGACAAAGGGGGGGTGTTTTTATGCAGAAAGTGACAATCAAATAAATGTAAATAAAATCTAAGAAGCTACTAAAAATTAAATAATAAATTACTAAAATCAAATGAATGATAATTAAGGATCTAGCCAAGGAATAACTTCAGCAATGGTTCACCCAATTGATCATCGATAAGCAAAGGCAATTCCAATTATTTACTAATAAATAGGTTATAACTGCCAAACAAGCGATGACAGTCAACCCCTCCTTACTGTGTCGATGATTAAGGTACGCCCGTTAATCACTGCTCTAATTGAGAAATAATCCTAGGTACGCCCATAGAATTTAATTCCCCAATTGCCTTACGTATTAGAGGAGCCCTATTCTAATCAAATAACGCACTACCAGGGTTATTTTAGATTAGCCCGCGTATTCCCCTGACACACGTCTAATTATGCCAGTTATCACTATTTTGAGACAATTAAACAATTACGGATTTAACGTCCCAATTGACAATAGATTATCAAATTAACTAATTATCCGGATCCAAGACAATCAATTAATTGAACAATCATAAGCACTGTAACCAGGGAATATGCGAATATCAATAAATAAAAGCAAAAGATAAAATTAAATCGATCTCACAATTTTTGGGCGACCCAGAGCCTTCGTTGCTCCTTGACTAGAATTGAAAAATTAGTTCATAATTGCTGAACTAAACCCACCAGAAATTGTAGCGAAGGCTGCGGAAATCAATTGGAAAGCTGGGTGAATTCAATTCGTTTACTCAATAAAGAAAGAAAGCTACAAAGGGTAATTCATAGTCTTCCTTTGGTCTGACACCTCCAGAAGGAAAACGGCTACTCAATGCTCTCTTTAGAAGAAAAGTCAAAGTTCTAAAAACTAAGGAAATGGAGAAAACAAAGAGGACCCGCCATGCCAGAAGGACAAGCAACCAAAGAAAAGTAAAAAAACTAAAGCTTCCAAGTAGTCTCCTGCGCGGCGGCTTTGTGCGGCGCCCTCCCTTGCGGAGAGGACTCCGGAGGAAGAAGAAGCTCCCAACTCCAGCCATTCGTTCTTCTTTTTAATGCTTTTGTCTTCGGCAATTACTAAAATAGGCACAAGTTTGCCTTTGCCAACAATGCCCCTGGGATAAGCTCTGTGCCTTAGACTCTTTTTCTGTTAAATTGGCACTTGTTATCAAATGTTCGTTCTACTCCCTGAAATAAATGCAAAATATCAAAAGTGAGTAGAATCTAGCAATTAATCTACAATAGGTCAGATAATAGGGAAAATTAATAATAAAATAAATGATAAAATTGCAACCTATCAAAGATTGAATTAATACATTCACAAACATATATGAGAGACTAAGCTAATTTATACACATAAGAATATGCTTGGGCTAATATATAAATATAAATAAATAAAGGGTAAATTACATTTTACCCTCCTGTGGTTTAGTGCTTTTTTACATAACTCCTTATGGTTTCAAAAACTATACATAATCCCCTCATAATTTGGATTAAAGTGTCAAAGTAACGGAAATAGTCATTCGTAACAGAACTTTCGAAAATGTCAAAATTACCCTTATAAATACATGACACACTAACCCCGTATGATTTTTATGTTTTACCATATAACTCCCTTATGGTTTAATGTTTTACTATATAACTCCCTTATGGTTTTCCAAATATACACATAACCCCTCTTGGTTAATAAATAATTTTCAACTTTACATAAGGATATTTTTGACATTTTAGGTGACTCCGTTACGAATGATCATTTCCGTCACATTGACACTTTAATTCAAACTATGAGGGGGTTATGTATAACTTTTGAAATCATAGGAGAGTTATGTAAAAAAATACTAAACCACAGGGGGGTAAATTAGAGTTTGCCCATAAATAAATACACACACACACACACACACACACACACATATATATATATATATATATATATATATATATATCATTATGGCCTAGATCCAGCCCATATACAGCTTCTGTTCACATTTTATCTTCTCCAAAAGTTAATAAGAATTTGCAACTATGATAAAATTCAATTTTCTTGCCCAGAAAATGCTAACAATGTGAAAAGCATGAAGAGAGCAATCGATGTTGAAACAAAAGGAAGTAATCTGTGATTTTTATGCCGCGAAAAGCTATATAAAACATGAATGCAGTGAGAAAAAACTTCAATATTACAAAATTAAGATGGAGTATGATATCCTTTTACCGTGCAATGTTGGACAACCAAAATTTTCCGGCCAACTTATCTTGAAGACGCTGGCACCCTGTCAATACACAAAAGTGTTATATTTTCGTCAGTTTTCACTACTAAGAAGCAGCTCCAAAAATATTGAATTAAGACTCCAACAATTGAACTAAGATTTTTGTGCCAAGTAAAGCAATTACGTACTTGATGAAATAAGAAACAATTCTGACAATTACAAAATTGTGATGGATGTGATCTCATTGTACCCGAAAGCAAGCTTGAGGAGGCTGAGAATCTTGAGACTGCCAAAAGCATGTACTTTTTTTTTTTTTTTTTTCTGTTTTTCCTTTGATTTACTACGAGTATGATTGTTGAGTATTGAGGAATTAATGATAAAAGTTGAACTAATAGGAGACCATGAGTGATTTTAAAGAGTTGAGCATTACAATATCTAAGTCAAGGTCTTCCTGCCCATTTCATATGCAAAAGGTCAAAAGATTAATATTTTTGCCACAATGTTGGTATAATTGATTGTTTTTATGGATTTTTTTTGGGCTATGCTTTTAGAGCACAGGATTTGGACAATTTTTGCTAGTGTTGGTATGAATAATTTTTTATATGGACTGTTGTTTTCGTTATACTTTTACAACGCAGGATTTAGATAATGTTCGAAATTCTTTCCAGCAAATGTCAATCATGTCAAAAGCTTGAGCAGAACTCCATGTGTTTAAAGAAGAACAAGTGATCAAGAATTTTGGGCCTCAGAAAGCTAAATATAACATGATGAAATGATAAACAACTACAAAAAATTTGCAAATTCAAGATCGAGTGTAAAATCATTGTACCTTGAAATCAGGATAGGTTATCTTGAAGAAATTGAGAACCGCAAGACTCTGCCAAAAGACAAAATTTTGTATTATATTTTGGTCTAGCTTTCACAAATACAAGGAATATGATGATTGAGTTTTGGTGACTGAATTATAATTGAATCAAGATTTTTATGCCATGTAAAGCTATTATAACATGATGAGATAAGAAGCAACTCCAAACATGTACAAATTCCAGATGGAAGTGATTTCACTGTAGTTGTACGTGAAATTGACAAGCGAACTCGAAGAAGCTGAAAACCTTGAAACTCTGCCAAATTGTATGTATTACGTCAATATTTTTTCTTTGTTTCTTTTGAGTTTCTCTACTTCTTGGAGTACATACATGGAGGAAGAGGGTAAAAGTTGAACTAATTGGAGACGTCAAGTGATTTAAAGGGTTCAGGATAACCAGCGGGCCCTTGTCCGGGAAACTTTCAGGAAAGTTAGAATAAAGGCCACTGAGATTGCAATGTTTAAAAAGCCAGTTAATTTTTTTGTTGGACAATCATGCATAGCTCGATTATCATGTTTAAAAAACTCTAAACCCCAAAAATCTCAGCCCCAAATAGTTAAATAAATTGAAATGCAATTTTATGTGGCTCCATCAAATGAACTACGTCTACGGGTAGAGGAGTAAACCATCAAATAACCTATATCTATGGATAAAGGAGTAGAATTTTTACTATGAAGAAGAGATTACAAAAGCCTTCTGCACCTGTGAAAACCTCTTTTTGTCTAGTGTGCTAACTAAAATTAATTTAAATCCACTTTATTTATAATTACACTGGGGAAGAATTCCTTTACGCTGACATATATGGTACTATCAGCGAAATTACATATATTTGGTCCTTTTCATTCTTCCGTGTAGCTTCTTAACTGGAACCCTGTGGTTCAATTGATGGTATTGTGGTTCATGACTTGCTAAAGTCAGTCAATGCAGAAGAGGTAAAACCAGTAAAAGCTTCTTTGAAGCTTTAAGCTCATGGAGCCCAAAACAGCGCGGGCTGGCGAATCATTTCGCACTAATAAAGTTATTGAAAACAACTGATTCTTTGCTTCGTCTTCCCGTCTTCCCATACCAAAGCTATAGTTGAGGGTTTAAGACAGAAAGTATGCAAAATCGTTCTCTATATCAAACAATTAGAAAAAGCATTTTGTCTACGCCTTCATTGCATTAGGACGCCAGGGAAAAGAGGCCTTCTTTTCAGCGAATATGCGAGACAACCTGTAATGCTTTACTTGTGTAAAGAGTGGCAAAGAACACTTTATCTATATTTTTGGACGCTTTTTCTACCCTAATCCCTTGTTAAATTAGCCCATCTTTCCATGGAGGCCGAAGGTAAATTCAATGATCGGCGATAAAGTGGAAATTGACAATACAAAATGTGCTTCTTTTCTTTTTTTGGTTCTTTCGCCGAAAGCGGGGATGAGGTGGGCAAAGGGAGAACGAATTGGATAAGAGGGTGATAATATAGTTGCTTTAAAAAAAAAAAAAAAAGAGAAAAGCTTTGCGTTTTATGTTAGAAAAATTAAGTGTCTAATTAAGCCCAATATTTTCATGAATTTTTCATGTAACTAAATCTGATTGCCCTGCGAACTATATTGGAAATAAGCATTTAGCCAGTAATGTTGATTCTTCAAATTCCTACGAAAGGTGTTCTGCTCCGGAAAGGAGAATTTTTTTTTTTTTCCCTTTTGCTCTAAATCTTTTGTGCTCTTGAATGATAATTTGTAGCAACTAGGGGTTTTGATAACCCCCATATAGCACTAAAATTTAATAAATTAAGTAATTTTTTTCTATTAAACTTGTTTGATAACATAAGTTTGATAAATTAAGTCTCACTTAATTTTTTATCCAAAATTTTTTAAGTGAAATTTGTATCACTTAATTTGCTAAATTGATGAACTACTACAATATATTCACTCGAAAAAAAAAAAATCTCTTTTGCCAAAGCTGAGAGAAACTCAGACTTTTGTGTAAATAAACCTTGAATCCCCGAACAACCTTCAAAAGCCGGAAACTTTTGAAGGCGTCCAGGGGACTTATCTACCCAAACCCTAACCCCCAATTTCGATGTGGGATAGAAAACCCCACAGGGTGCCCCGCTGCTAAGAGATAAAAACCCCCCAAACCCCTGAAAAAAAAAAAAATCTCACGCAAACACTTTCACATATACCTACATACTCTCTCTCCCACACACATTCACTCTTTCTCCCACATATGCGTAGCTTTTAGACACATATACCTTTCTCTCTTTTTTTTTTTTCTCACACATTCTCACATGCTGTCTCTCGCATAAATATTTTGACTCTCACACACCCACTCACTTTCACACATACATATACTCTCTCTCGCTCCCATACATGCGCACATTCTCTCTCCCTCTCTTAGACACAAACTTCATGCGCACGCTCTTTCTCTTACGCGTATTTTCTTCTATAACATGCACTTTTAAGCATAATCTATTCATCAAAAATGCAAAATACACATATTTTTCTTTTATTGTACACACACATTTTCGTATAAATCCACAAAAGCATCCTTATGCTCTTTATTAGTATCAAAAGGTAATATTGAAAAAAACTAATATAAAATAACAATAAAACATAATATTATTATTCAATTATAAAATCACATGAAATAAAATACTTAATTAAGCACTCCATTTTTAGCCAGTCATCAAGCAGATTTGACTTTATTGATTCAGCAAATTGAGACTTCGGCAATTAAGTTACGATCTTTAGAATTCAAACTTTAGTTTTCAATTTTATCAAACACCCTCTAAGACTGATGCTCATTGAAGGTCACGGAGAAATTTCCAGGTGTCACAGGATGGCTATTTTGTTAACTCACTAGCCCGTGCGGAACTAGTAACTCTGGAAGACTAAAGTTAAGAGATTAGTGCCACACGACTTATTCAGTCTCGAAAAGCTAAGAGACTAAAGCTGCACGGGTTATTGAGTTAACAAAATAGTCATTTGGTGACGAGTGGGATCTTGGATTTTGGCAATAACAAGTATACAAGTTCTATAAACTTTCTTTCTTTAACCTCCACCCGTTTAAGTACGTTTACACTCTTATGCTTCCGCATCTTTGACACATTAGGTAAGATTGAATTAGCTACATCTCTTAATTTTAGTCTCCGAGAGTAGCGTCGCATGGGCTACTAAGTTAATGAAATAGCCATCCCGTGACACGGGAAAGTTGCAACAACGGCCTATGAACTTGATGGGTCTCCAAAATGGGTCTCTAGAATTATTACCTCTGTTCTTTCCCATGGCAAGAGTTTAGGTTAAATAATAGAGTTCGTGCTCATCTTTTGAGTCAAAAAACGGGAACACCCTAGCCCGCTTTTGCGACAAATATATTGCCTATATAAATTTGAAATATTTTGTATTAGATCATTGTGTTGATCATCAAAATGGTCTAAATTCCTTTTTTTTTTTGGGTGATTAATGACTCCCATGCTATCTTTTATTTATTTCGTAAAATGAGAACCTACTATTTTATACGACAACAATTTTAGTGTGAATTGTCAAGATTACCCTTCCAATCAACTATCTTGATATTTAATACGTGATGACTTGGGCGGCTACTATGGACAATTTCGCTTAAACTTGTGGCTGTGGTAATGTCGCTTTATTCCGTTGCCTTTACAGTTTGCTAACCACCAAATTTAAACCCGGCCGTATTTCATTGACTTTCTAAGGATCCCATGTCCACCACTCACAAATAACAATCTCTGCACTAACCACCGGTATCCTATTTAATGTATTTTTTCAAAAACTTTAGGCCATCAAAATAGGGGATGTTGCTGCAATATGTTTACTAGTCAAAGAAGAGGTGTGAAAAGTTGGGGGAACAGGAGAAGTAAGTGATTATGGCCACAAACGGTAGGAAAAGTGTGTTGGATGGACACGTGTAAAGTTCTTTTGTGACCTGAAACTTGAAGACCTGTTGGACGTTGAAGTTAAGCGGAAAGGGGATAGGAAAAGTTAAGGGGATTTCAAAGTGTAAATGTGAATTTAGTTTTATGAAAGAACATAGAGCTCAATTTACGTTTAATAAAAGATGATGAATTTCAAGGTATGTTAACATAATTTTTATTTCTTTTTAATTGAAAATAGTTATATTTATATTGCATAGTTATATATTTGTTTTTGCACAAGTGACATATTGAAGCATCTTCTCATAATGTACAACTTAGATGGTTTGTGATGTTATAAGATATTCAATCAAATGTAATTTCTTGTCTTAATTTTAGTTTTGACTATGCTACATATTTATTAAATAGACGTACCATTATAATTAAAGTTAATATTTGATATTTTAGCATGCCATATATTTAAATAGAATAAAATTATTTTTAACATAACATATTAAAATAATTTTGTTTGTCAATAATTTTGGCACCCCCCAAGAAAAAAATCTTGGTTTCGTCACTGCTTAGGAGGAAATTGGGGCCTATTGCTAACAAAAGATTGTGAAAATTTACCTTTATACCTTAATTATTTGAAAAAAATCTAATGAACAAATTTTGCAAAAGAAACATTGTTTCTTGTCAACAAATTAAGTAACTAATAAAACCACCGTAATGTTGCTTTAACATATTTAATTTATGTTATATACAAAATCTACTAGTTTTCCTTTCGTAAAAATATAAGTGTAACAGTTTTTCAATTTTAGTTACAAACATTTATGTTTTTTACATAAATGTAATGATTCAGAGTAAAATGCCCATAAATATCTAGTATTTTGTTGATGTAATTCAAAAAACTCATAAAGAGCTGGTATGTTATGGGCACAATCTTTTTTACTTTCACATATTTAAAATTTGTTAAATACAAAATCTACCAGTTTCCCTTTCGTAAAAATATAAGTGTAAAAGTTTTTCAATTTTAGTTACAAACATTTACGTATTTTACATAAATGTAATGATTCAGAGTAAAATACCCTTAAATAGCTAGTATTTTGTTGATGTAATGCAAAAAACTCATAAAGAGCTGGCACGTTATGGGCGCAATCTTTTTTACTTTCACATATTTAAAATTTGTTAAATACAAAATCTACCAGTTTTCCTTTCGTAAAAATATAAGTGTAACACTTTTTCAATTTTAGTTACAAACATTTATGTATTTTACATAAATGTAATGATTCAGAGTAAAATGCCCATAAATAGCTAGTATTTTGTTGATGTAATGTAAAAAATCCATAAAGAACTGGTATGTTATGGGCAATATCTTTTTTACTTTCATATATGTAAAATTTGTTAAATACAAAATCTACTAGTTTCCCTTTCGTAAAAATATTAGTGTAACACTTTCAA